CCAGGGGTCCGCTGACCCCCATTCCCTCACCCCTCCCTCTAGCTGAGCTCCCTGAATAAGTTGAGGTCTTCTCTCCCAGTCAGCAACGAGACAGACCAGGTAGGGGTGCAGTCTAGACCACCCAAGGCTGCTGTTGGCATTGATTCCCTGCACAAGGTGGGGCAGCGTCCCCACCCAAGGAGCTGCTCTTGCCCCAGCTACTAGCAGGTCCTGAGCAACAAGGATTCGGGTGGGGCTGTGCTCCAGCCTCCATCCAGGTACCCCCGCTCTTCCATCATGGGGGACACCGCGCATAGCCTGCCCTTAGGGAGTCTGGGCTGTACATGCCAAGCTCCTAGATGGAACGATCCAGACATAATCAGGGGCCAGCTATCCAGTGGGCAGGGCTGTGGTTTTAGCCCCAAGAGCTCTGGCAACTCTGGTGGTGGAAAAAATTTGGTTTTTGGAGCTCAACAAACTTGGGTCCAAGTCTTAGCTTCTTCACTAGCTTTAACCTTGGCTTAGTCCCTGAACCTCTCTGTATATGGGTTTCTTTCTTGATGCAATGGGGATATGACCGCCTGTCTCATCAGGTTGGTGTGAGGATTAAAGGCACATAGTAGGTCCTCAAGCTTTGGTGGCCTCTTCCTTTCTCCTTCCTGTGCTCAGCCAGCCCTGGCAGATGGGCAGGAGGAGCTGGGGCTTGGCTGCTCTTGCTGTGGCTGTGCCCTGTGGCTGACCTCTTACTGGTCTCCAGGCTTGGGAGAAGGTTGGGATCTGAGCAAGCCAGGGGGACCTTCCTCCATACCCGCCTGAAGGTCCACTGGGACGCGGATGTTGCTGGGAAGGAAGGCGCCCAGGGGGCGTGAGCAGGGCAGGAGGCCCAACCTCCACCTCTCCTGGCTCTCCCTGGGGGAGAAGTCCTCATGTCTGGGCCTGGGCCTGGCTTCTGCTGCCCGCCCTCCAGCTCTCACTCTTCGGGCATTGGGGCCCAGAGAGGAAAGAATCCAGACAGTCTGTTCATTGATCAGGATTTTTCTACCCCAATCTGTTAAGGCCTGACCTTTTTCTGGGCCTCAGTTTCCCCATCAGGATCTATACTGTGAGAGGGACATTTGAGATGAGAGCTCTGAGGGCCTGTGGGGGCACCTGGGAGTTAAAAGCTCCTGGGACATCAGTGCTCTGTCTGGGCTGTTCCCACGAGCCTCCCAGGGCACTGAAGAACCAGAGTTGGAGACAGATTCGCTGCCTCCTTGGGGGGAATTTAGACTCCTTGGGAAGTCCCTTCATTTGCTCCCTCCTAAGGGCTACAGCTGTGAAGGGAAGCCTCGCCCCAGGGGAAGGGCTACTTAGCAGGGCCCTGAAGGATGAATGAAATTTTTCCAGACAGAGATCGGCAGGAACACTTGGTGGATGGCACAGCAGGTGCATACACCGAGGTGGGGGAGACGCTCTGAGGTCAGAAATGGCAGAGAGGTGCACGTGGCAAGGATGTTGGGTGCGCTAGGGAGAGGACCCTGGGAAGTTCATTGAGCCAGGGTGTGGAGAGCCCCACGTGCCAGGCTGAGGAATCTGGGCTTTTCTCTGTGGGATTCATGGGCAGAGCTGGGATTCCAGTGGGCAGCTCCCTCTGGAAGCTGCATAGAGGGTGGGCTGGTGACCCAGGCTGAAACTAAAATCTGCTTTGATGGCAGTGACTCTGTTGACAGAGAGTCACATATGAGCAGGGGGCACAACAGAGGGTGGGTGTGGGAGGATTGGGAGGAAGGAGGATGTCTTGGCGGATGGGTCAGGGAGGAGTGGGGGCAGTGCTTCCTGCCTCCCACCACTGGCCAGGACTGGAGCCCAGGCTGGCAGTGGGTCCTGCCTCTTGGCACCCTTCGGACACCCACAGTGTGTCTGTTCCTCCTCTCACACGAAGGCCAGGGCAGGGGTGTGGCGGGGCGGGGGGCCTGACCTGCTCTTGGGGAATCTGGGCTGTGAATGCCAAGTACCAAGATGGGGCCCTCCAGGGAGAATCTGGGGCCAGATCAGGATGTGTTTTCCAGCTCCGCGAGCTTTGGTGACTGCTGATGAAAAGAGCTCTGACATTAGATGAACTTGCATCTGAGGTGGTGGCCCCTTCCAGTTGCTTCCACTTTGCTTTCGTGGGCTGCCTATGAGGGCCACAGCTGTGACCCAGGTCTGACCTTTCTGGACCCTGAAAGAAAATCTTTCTGGATTTAGAAGACCTGGCTTTAAGCCTCTACCCTGCCTCTCTCAAGCGTGCACAAATCACTCTCCCCTTTTCCCAGCCCCACCTACTTCACGAGGCTGAGGGGCCCATCTTTTCAGTCCACTGCATTGCACTGGTCTCGGGGAGTGCCCTTCAGCCTGCGCTGGCCAGGGAGCCCTCTGAGGCTGGACCGAGGCCCTCTTCAACTCTGTGCCCGGCATAACCTGGTGAGGAAGGGGTGCAGGGATGCGTGGGAGGGAGGGGAGGCAGGGAAGAGGGAGGCAAGACAGGAAAAAAGAAAAGAAGAAAGAGGAGGGAAGGGAAGAAGAATGAATGCGTGATGGAGAGAGGGAAGAAACATGACTGGACGCGTAAGGAAGCAGGAGAGGACAGAAGGAGGGAAGGGCGAGTGGATGATGGGTATATGAATGGAAGTGAGAAAGGATGAATGGATGGGAGGGAGGGAGAGAGGAAAGAAGGAAGGATGATGGATGGGTGAAGAAAGGAGGGTTAGGGCCGGGCGAGGTGGCTCACACCTGTAATCCTAGCACTGTGGGAGGCCGAGGCGGGAGGATCCTTTGAGCTCAGGAGTTTGAGACCAGCCTGAGCAAGAGCAAGACTCCGTCTCTACTAAAAATAGAAAGAAATTAGCCGGACAACTAAAAATATATAGAAAAAATTAGCCGGGCATAGTGGCACATGCCTGTAGTCCCAGCTACTCGGGAGGCTGAGGCAAAAGGATCGCTTGAGCCCAGGAGTTTGAGGTTGCTGTGAGCTAGGATGGCGCCACAGCACTCAAGCCTGGGCAACAGAGCAAGACTCTGTCTCAAAAAATAAATAAATAAAAATAAAATAAAATAAACAACGAGGGTTAGATGGCTGAGAGGAAGTCTGCAAATGGATCACACCTGATAGTAGCTTAAGGGAAAGTTTTTTGAAAATTGCACAATGCTCTAAAACTAACAAGACTATTGATGCCCCGCGTTCCGTAGCTTGGACAGGTCTCTCCCCGTTTCTGGGCCTCAGGCTCCTCATCTGCAGCATGTAGTATCTTCGAGCAGCTCATCTCTAAAGGTTGCTCTTACTCTGTCACTCTGAAACGCTGCCTTGGTCCCTTCTCCTTCCGTCTCCCCTCCTCCAACCCAGAATGCAGTTTAGAAGGTCCACGTAGTTCTTGGGGCCCAGATCTCTGCCAGCTGAGAGCCAGGCCCTGTGGCCGTGGTCAATCCAGACAAGGCTGTTCTGGGACTTCCAGGGGACACCCTCAGGGGACTTCCAGGGGACACCCCCACACAGTGGGGGAAAGACATCAAGAAAACTAAGGTGATTTCTAGGGGCAGCATGGCCTCCTGCTGCTGATACAAGGTGGGACCTAGGCATGCCTCAGTTATCTACAAGGGCAGCTCTGGAGAACAAAGGTGTCGCCCATTCCAAACTGTAGCCCAGAGCTGTCTTCAGAGAGAGAGTGGTGCTTTGGCCATGGGCTGTCTTGGCCAGGCAGGGAGAAGGGGATCCAGAGAAGAGGAGAGCAGTGGGAACATGCAGGCAGGAGTGGCTGGCTAGGCCCTGGAAGAGAGCTGTCTGGCCCAGGTTCCGTCTGCCCAGGGCATGGCCAAGGGAGGCCACAGTTTGTTAGAGTCCCAGGGGGGCCTGTCTGGAGACCTTGTCCAGAATTCAGTCTGAGCATGAGTGTTTGAAACTCAGCTGCTTTATTCTGTCTCCTCTGGTAGCCATGTCTGCTGGGGGCCAAAGAAATCTAGGGGGTCATGAGATGGGGCCTCCAAACCAAACCAAAGTGTCTTCAGAACCTCTCTCTAGCAGGCTCAGGGCCAGAGGAGGTGGTCTAGACAGGCTGGGCTTTCCTCACCATTTCCTTCTGGCTGGCAGGGTCCGAGAGAGCCGGTGCCCATTTTGGGAAAGCCCCTAGGAGCTCCCTCCTCCCTCCCACCCACGCCCCTGCCCTGGGCTGGCAAACTGCCAGGGAGAAGCAGACCCCAAGGCTTATAGCACCTTTGGAGACCCCTCCTGATGCCCGAACCCTTAAACAGTAGCTCTGACAAATGATCATTTAGCTTCTATTTCCATACCTCAGAGGGCGAGGAACTCACCATGAAGTTGGTGGTGCAAGTTCTAGAAAGATAGAGGGAGGGGTAAAAAAGTCGCCTAAGGCCCTGGGGCAGATGTACATCTTCTGCAGTTCTAGGTAGTACAGAACCTGAACGAGACCATGAGTGAGGTACAGACCCATGGAAACGGCGGCAAGTAGACTAGAATAGAAAGAAGGAAAGGTGGGAGGTCTGGCCTTTGAGGGACTCGATTCCACGCTAGCTGCGCCCTCTCATTTCTTTGCAAACTTCAGCCGCAGCAAGCTGGGTTGCTTCTATCAGTCAAGGTAGCTAACGCTTTAACGGATCCCCTCCACATCACAGCGGCTTAACACAGTAGAAGCTTATTTTCCACTCGGGTCACAGTCGGATGAGGGTATTTAGTGGATGCCCTTCTTGTCAGGGACTCAGGCTCCTTCCTTCTAGTGACTCTGCTGGCCCCAGGGCTTCTGAGTTTGGCTGGCATTAGGGGGAAGAAAGGGAGCATGGAAGAGTGAGTAGGGGGGTTCTAGGGCCAGGCCTGGCAGCAGCGCACATCCCTGGTGCCCTGCGGAGGGAAATGTGGGCCGTCAGCTTGGGTCATGCTGCGGGAGATTGTGCAGGCGTCCTCCCTGGCCTGGCCCTCTGACTGGACGGAGGTGCCCTAGGCTGCCCCACTCTGGGCAGGCCTCCCCTCTGACACCATGTCTTTCTCCCCACAGTATGTGGCCTTTGCTTCCCTCTTCTTCATCCTGGTCTCTATCACCACCTTCTGCCTGGAAACCCACGAGCGCTTCAACCCCATCGTGAACAAGACGGAGATCGAGAACGTCCGCAATGGCACACAAGTGCGCTACTACAGGGAAGCGGAGACGGAGGCCTTCCTCACCTACATCGAGGGCGTCTGCGTGGTCTGGTTCACCTTCGAGTTCCTCATGCGTGTGGTCTTCTGCCCCAACAAGGTGGAGTTCATCAAGAACTCGCTCAACATCATCGACTTTGTGGCCATCCTGCCCTTCTACCTGGAGGTGGGCCTGAGTGGCCTGTCGTCCAAGGCTGCCAAGGACGTGCTGGGCTTCCTGCGCGTCGTCCGCTTCGTGCGCATTCTGCGCATCTTCAAGCTGACCCGCCACTTCGTGGGCCTGCGGGTCCTGGGCCACACGCTCCGTGCCAGCACCAACGAGTTCCTGCTACTCATCATCTTCCTGGCCCTGGGCGTGCTAATCTTTGCCACCATGATCTACTACGCCGAGAGGATAGGGGCTCAGCCCAATGACCCCAGCGCCAGTGAGCACACGCACTTTAAGAACATCCCCATCGGGTTCTGGTGGGCTGTGGTCACCATGACGACGCTGGGCTACGGAGACATGTACCCGCAGACGTGGTCCGGCATGCTGGTGGGGGCGCTGTGCGCGCTGGCAGGCGTGCTCACCATCGCCATGCCTGTGCCCGTCATCGTGAACAATTTCGGGATGTATTACTCCTTAGCCATGGCTAAGCAGAAACTACCAAAGAAAAAAAAGAAGCATATTCCGCGGCCACCGCAGCTGGGATCTCCCAATTATTGTAAATCTGTCGTAAACTCTCCACACCACAGTACTCAGAGTGACACATGTCCGCTGGCCCAGGAAGAAATTTTAGAAATTAACAGAGCAGGTAGGAAACCTCTTAGAGGCATGTCAATCTGACCTTTCACCTCTTCTCCCTGTAGCGATGATTCCAGATCCAGTTGGACTGCTTCCTTAGTTCCGTGGGCGACCCGGGACCCCGCACTCAGTCTCGAGGCGTGGAGCCTGGGGGCCCAGGGAGAGGCTGGGCAGCTAAATTCAGAAGGCGAGAGCCTGCTAGAGGAACCTCACTGTGGCCCTGGGGAAAGAGGTTGACGCGGCTGGTCTCGTGATGTTCCGAAGAGACGACACGGCCGCGAGGGTGCTGAGGACTATCTTAGCAGGAGCCCGGGGGGCTGCTGCCCAGGTGGGCAGGAGTTGAGCGTGAGTCCCTGACTCAGGCTTCTGACCCAGCGCTGGGGCAGGGAGGGGGCGGGTGTGATCGGAAATGGCAGACAGCTGTGGATTTGTTCCTTCCCGCGGCTCCCTTCAGGCTGTGGGGACGGCAGAAACAGTGCATAGGATCTGGGCAGGAGGGTCCCTCGCAAAGGCAGTAGCAAGGATTCTCGCCCCCAACAGAGCCTGTCTCCATAGCCGAGTAGCATTCCTGCTCTGATTCCGGCTGCCTAGCTCCAGACCCTCCCTCGGAGACGCCTGTAGCCCTCCGTGACAAGCTTACTTACCCCGCAGCATGCAGAACCAACTCATCTTCTACCACCACTCTAGAGTTTAGCCTTTATCTTTAGGAACCTGTTGGAGTGACTCTAGCTTTCACGTTGTCTGTTTGGGTTGATGGTCGAGTGGGAGTTTCCGGTGACCTTCTGATGGAAGTGGCTGGTGAGCAAAGGACTAGAGGGGGCCACCACCCTGGGCAGCTTAGATGAAAGCGCTACAGACCAGCAACAGCCTCCCACCGAGGGTTCTCCCCCTTTCCGGCGGTAGGGACTGCAGCAGCAATACAGACATCCCAGCCAGTGTACAACCATTTTCCCATGAGTTCACTGGGGTCGGGGAGGGGGGAGGGGGGCCATGAAACAATACTAGTCACCGTGGGATATATTCTAATATTCCATGGCTAGTGGTTCGTTATGGGACTATCTCAGTTTTATGAGAACCTGCACATAGCACATAAAGTTGATCATGGGGCTCTGGTCCGAAGATAAAAAAGCCCATAGTCTACCTCTACCCATGGAATACCATCGACTTATTCTGTGGACACAGGGATTTCAAAGGAACAGATGACCCAGAGAAGAGTGACAACACTGAGTAAGAAGGAGTACCCGGGTGAGCGAGAGGTTGGTATGAGAGCTCAGGTAGCATTTAGCCTACAAAGGACATCCCCGTGCCCAGGTCTGGCAGGGGCCTGCAGGTGAGCTCAGCCCTGGGTGAGGAAGTTTCCCCGGGTCTGCGTGGCCTCCCCAGCAGATGATTGGTTTTTGTCCCTGCTGACACACTCTCTGACCCACCACCCCATCCTGATCCCATCTGGCTTCATCCCATAGCTATGCCAGCCAGAGCAGTGCCCCCAAGACCAACTCCTCTGGCCATGGTGGCTTTCCAGCCCCTTAACCCTGCCCCATACCCTCCCCTTCCTGAGATTCCTGTAGGCACCTGATAGGAACTTGGCTAGTGTCCTGGGCTGGGCTAGGGGGTGGGCAGGGGTGTCAGAGGCTAAATCAAGGGTCCCTACCTCTCTGCTTTGGATTAATTAGCTAGCCATTTGACCTTGGCAAGAGAAGTTCCTGGGGCTCTGGGGGAGGGTCTGGGCAGACCTAGCCCCCAGCTTCACTGTGGGCCCAGCAGGAAGAGTGATATCACCTGAGTGGCATCACCATGGCACTGCCTGGCCTTTGCATTGTGTCTATTCCAACACTGGATATTTCAGGATTGGTGCCCCAAGCATGGGTCCCCTAGGCCAGCCCGTCAAGGATCCCCAGTGCACTCCAGACAGGCACAGATTCCTCTGTACTCCTAGACTGTGACAGTATTATCCATATGCCGAGGACACACACACTCGCACACACGCAGGAGTGCAGATGTGTGTGTTCAGGCTCACACACCAGCTACTCCCAAGGACGCAACCCTCTTCCCATGCTGCAGCAGACCCTGAAAGCCCACGCATGCCTGGGGGAGTCCCTGGGCTCCACAGCCCTGCCCCAGCCCACCTCCTGGGAGCCACCTTGCCCTAGCCCCAGGTTTCAGACCCAGACAACCCGGGCTTGAACACCCAAGCTTGCCCTCTGGAGCCTGGATGCCCGGATCCTCCTGCCTTTTCCCCCCACAACCCCCCACCGCACTCTCTCCCCACCCCCTTCCCAGGCACTCACTTCCCCTCGTGGCATCAGTGCTGCCCTGACGTCCAGCCCAGTACCCGTCAGTTCTGAGACCGGCTCTGAGCCTCATCCGTCACCAGAACACTCCTCTCTCCACAAGCTGGTGTGTGAGACCCAGACTAGGTCCCACCCCAAGGTGCGTGGTCCTTAGGGGCATCCTCCCCACCTCTGTGTCCCTGAGTCCCTCCCGTTGGCCTTTTCTGCTTGCAGCTGTGCTCCTACAGGCACAGGGGTTGGGGTGAGTCTGAGAGAAGGAGGGAAGGCCAGAGGCAAGGAGAGCAAATGTGGGGACCCTGCAGGAATTGTGGGAGATGAGATACAGTCCCCCAGGACCTCTCCAGCCTCATGCCATCCCCAAGGGCAGTCACGCAGCCTTGCCAAAACCTGGGTTTCTCCAATTCCACTTTTCAAACTGGGTCAGGGCCAAGTACAGCATGCTGGGCTCTGAGGCACCCCCCAGGCCACCCCCGTTGTGCTAGAGGCACCTGCCCCTCTCCGCCGTGCTGTGGTCTCTCCTGAAGGCTCAGTCTGTGTGTCTGTCACAGGGATGATGCGGTCTCCTCTGCGTGTGGCTGGCATGGCCTCAGTGTTTGGGGGTTTTGTTCTGGGAGGGTTGTCAAGGGTTCAGCGCTCACCTGGTTGTAAGACCTCACAGGTGGTGACAAGAGGGCACCCGGCAAAGCCAGGGACTGCTTGGGGCTGAGGGCCCAGGGGAAGCTGCTCTTCTTCCCGAAAGGGGCTCCCTCCCCCTCTGCAGTCAGACACCCAGACCGCCCGCTCTGGACAGCCCAGATGCTTCCTCTGTCCTGCCACGTCCATTCACGTGTGTCTTGTCCATCTCTGCGCCTGTGATGTGGGTCGGTCCTTTGTGGTGCCGCGTCCAGCGTTGCAGGGTCCCACCGTAGGTGAGCTGGGGGTGGCAAGGGGGGAGGGGTGGTGGCCAGGCTCCCTTCCTGCCCACAGCACGTAGAGCAGCAGTGAGGTTCCAGAGAAGCCCCTGCCTGGGCCCCCAGGAGCTACCACGGCAGCCTCTGGGTCATCTTTAGTGAGGGGGTTCTCCCCCGAGCAGCAGGGTCCTAAGTCCCCTATCCGCAGCCCTTCCACCTCCCCCTGCCGGGCTGCAGCAGCTGCCCAGCGAGTGGTGCTAGTCCATGGGGCAGGGTCGGTGCCAGGCTGGGGGCAGAGCTGACCAGGCAGGGTGTGGGGCTGAGTTTCTGCACGAATCCAGCTGCAGGGTTGGCACTGGCAGAATACAGGTAAAGCGGTGGAGATATGAGCCGACCCTGAGGGCCAGGCATGGGTGTTCTTTTCCGTGTTGTTCACATTCTCGCTCTTTCTCTCTCTCTCCACTAATCATGTTTCTCTCTCTCTCTCTCTCCTCGTTTTGTTGCATGAACTTGTGCCGGTTCTCGTGACCGTACTCTGCTCGTGTCTCTCACAGACTGTCCCCATTTAGCCTGGGACGTTTTCTCTGAGACCCCAGCTGGGCACATCCCTCGGGGCTAAACCCAAGGAAATGCCCAGCAACCCCCCATCCCATCCCGCGTGCACCCCCCTCCCCTGTGCCCGCTGCTGGTGTGAACAGTAAGTACTTGGGCGGTGCCTGGAGACCAGGGCAGAAAAGCCAGCCCTGCGGGCCGAGGGCCGGCCTCGGGTTCTCCTTGCTCCAAAGTTTAAAAAAAAATGACCCTCTCGTGGACACTCATCTCAGCCCATTTCAAGCCTGGAAACCATCTCTGAGACGCTGCCCATGCTGCCATTTCATCATCGCAGGCCTGTGGGGCTAGTGGGGGCCTGGGGGCCCTGGGCCAGGGGAGGCAGGCTGTAGGACAGGGCAGGGGCAGGAGGGTGGGGAGACTTGAGGGTCTTACATCTTTGGCTCTTTTCACGGGTTCCCCAGATTTACACGGTTGGACCCTCCTTGGTTTCTCTCCCTTCCAGCCACCCCTCTGGAGCTGGGGAGGAGAATGCCCCCAGTTTCTGAGAGCATCCCACATTGCAGATGGACCAACAGCCCAGGGAGGCCAGGCTTACAGAGCAAGACTTAAACACCCCACCCACTCAGAGTCCCCTCCTCAAAGGTCAGGCCTGAGAGAAGATGCAGGCCCCAGCGGTGTCCTGGGGATGCCCCCAGGATGGGAAGGTGCCCAGCCCTCATCCCTCCAGGATCTCTGATGGCTGCTCCTTCTGCCCCACCCCTGCAGGGAAAACCAACCCGAACCTTGACCTTTTAAAGGTTGTGGGAGCTGGGAGCCCAGGGGGCTGGAGGACCTGTGGGTGGGGGCTCAGCACTCAGAAGGGGTCTCAGGAGGCAGAGGGGGGGCACCCACCTCTCACCCATCCCCTGGGCGAGAACTGCCAACTGTGGATGCCTCTGCCAACAGGATGGCCAACAAAGAGCGAGCCCTCACTCCCCTCCCAGATGGAGACGCCGCCTGGGAGGACCCCGCTTTCCTCTTGAGAATTCCTGCAGGGTGGTGTGGGCCCCACCTTCCACATCCTCACCCCTTCCCCTCCACACTAGTTTCCTCCCGGCTCCCAGCACCCTCCTCCCTCTGCCCAAAGAGTCCCTTGGAAGGAAGATGGGGCCAACCGGAGTGGGAGGCAGGGCCGGTGCCGCCGTGAGCACACGTGTGTGCCGGCAGACACACCCCCACGTGCTAGGCAGCCCCCAGACCCCAGAGAGGCCCCAGCCCCAGACACATGGTGTCAGAGCGACCTTGGTAACTGGCCTTTCTGGTTCAGAGTAAATTGGGGAGTGAAGCCCTGGGATTTGTCAAGAAACGCACTGTACGTGAAATGCTTTGCCATCTTGTACGAGAGACTTTTTTTTAAGTTCCAAAATTATGATGGGATTTTTTTTGCATTTGCTTTACGAATAAACCTGATTGGTCCATTTCTCTTTTGACTGACTGCCTCTTTGTAGTGACATGATGTGTACACGGGCGAGGTGATCCCACCCACGTGCACGCCGAGTGTGTGCACGCGGGGAAGGATCACTTCTGCGTGTAGTTACATGATGTGAACAGGATCACGGGAGAGTGTCACATCGGGTGGACATTATCTCCAGCTTTTTTCTCCTCTTTAATCTTCCAGAGAGCCTCCCCTGACGTGGTCACACCCATGCTGGTTTCCTTCGTCCACAAAAGGGCTTGCACTCCAGGCTCTCACCTAGATGAAGTATTTGAGTTGGCTCCACCCTGGCCAGGAAGATTCTGCTCTGAGGGCAGAGAGTGTGGGGCAGGCTCAGTCCCCAAGAGTGATGGGTGGGGGCAAAGGCCAGTAAGAGCTACCTCTGCCAGCCCCAGAAGCTTCCACTGGCCCTGGCCACACTCTGCCCCCACCAAGTGTACCCCCAAACCTCCTCCCAGGTTCCTTCTAAGGCTACCACAGAGGCCAAGACTTGAATTTTCCCCACCTAAGTCCATCAGCTGCTGTTGTCTTCTACACATTCATTTGCTCTGCTTTGCCGGGGACACTGACCAGAGGGGACAGAGGAATGGGAGCCCCTCCCAAATCCATGTCTCGCTGTCACGGCCTCATGCATATGTCCCTGCTGTGCCTGTGCAAGCTGACCAGGCCTGCTGGGGGCAGCACAGGTGGAAGACACTGGCTCAATATGTGTAGGGACCAGAGTAGGCTGAGAGATCAGCTTGGGCCTGTGTGGGGGTGGAGCAGATGGAGGTCAGGTCAGGTCTGCATGGGGGACAGAGGAGACTGTGTGGCCAGGCCTGGTCTGTATGGGGGATGGGGCATACAGAGTGACCAGGGCAGGACTGTGTGGGGACAGAGTAGGCTGCATGGCCAGGCCTGGTCTGCATGGGGGACAGGCATACAGAGTGAGCAGAGCAGGTCCATTTGGGGTGGGGGCCAGCTGAGTGGTCAGATAGGGTGGGGGCAGCATGGGGTCTGAATGGGGATGGAGCAGAGCTGGTCAGGTGGCCTGGCTGGGCGGGGCTGGGAGCAGCCGGGCTCTGGTCAGCCGCAGAGGGGTCCAAAAAGGCCTCCTCTCTGGACTGGCGTGTTCCTGCGTGTCTGTCTGTCCTCCCCCTGAGCTCTGTGTCTGGCCCTCCCCGTGACCGCATCCACACCATCCTGTCTCATCGGCCCTACCTCGGGCCCTGGGCTGGCCCCCAGCACTGCACCTGCTGGGCCCATCACCAACTCATCTTTTTGCAAACTTTGAGCGAACCCAGGAGTCCCTCCCTCCCAGCACTGCGGGCAGCCACAGGCCGCCTGGATGAGCTGAGGTTCCCAGCCATGTGCCCTCCCCCCGTGGCCCGCCCACTTTTCCGTCCTCAGGGATGGGCTGCCCTTTGCCAAAGCCCCTCCTCTGGCCTGTCCCCCCACTAAACAGTTTTCAGTGTCTCAATAGCTTCTGCTTATATGTTTGAAGATTCCAAACTGAATGGGGAGGTGGCGAAGGCCGCGCTGGCGAACGAAGACTGCCCCCACATAGACCAGGCCCTCACTCCCGATGAGGGCCTGCCCTTTACGCGCTCGGGCACCCGCGAGAGATACGGACCCTGCTTCCTCTTATCAACCGGGGAGTACGCGTGCCCACCTGGTGGAGGAATGAGAAAGGGTATGTAGAGGAAGCTGGAGCACTATGCATCGCCGGGCCGCCTCGCGCTCCCGCAGAGGGGTGGGCAGGGCGGCGGGCGAGGGGCGCTGAGGGGCAGGCAGGCACACTGAGGGGCAGGGATGGAGGGAGTCCCCCAGGGTCTGCGTCCCTGTCCCCCAAGTGGGATACCAGGCTGGCAGAGAGCACCTGAGGCCCCAGCAGCTGGAGGTTGGTAGTGAGCCGGGGGTAGACGGGGGCTGGGGACAGGCTGGCTGACTGCGGGCCATGATCCCAAGGCAGGCAGCACCCAGGATGCAGGAGGAGCCTCGACTCCCCCAGGCTGCTCTGGCAGATGGACAGTCAGGGCCGGAAGGCAGAGTGATCTCTCCTCTCCCTTGGTTGAGGAAGGCAGTGGAATAGGCCAGGACCCCATGGGCTTAGCTACCCAACACCCATGTTCTGGAAGAGGCTTCCTTTAAAGACACTCCACAGGCCAGTGAGAGAGAAGGCATGAAGAGAGGTGGTTTCAGGGCTCGGGGGGTAAAGCATGGTCCTAGCGGTCAGGATATTGCTAGTGACAGATAGAGAACCGGGCAAGAGAAGGCGGTTAAACAGGACTCTGCAGCCCCTTCCATCCCCAGTGCCTACTGGCCACTGCCTTGGGCGTGGTCGGCGCCCCTTGTGGTTGGTGAGGGCTGGGGCCGGTGGTGGCCTCCGCTCAAGGTCTCCTTGTAGTCAAAACTTTAGGCTGACCCCACTGGAGAGAAGGGCTTCTACTATACTAGAGTTTCTGCATGGGCTAGGGAGAGGTTTGAAGTGGGGGCCCAGAGCACCCTACCTCAAGGCCCCAAAGCATTGGGCCTGGGCCTGAAAGGCAGAGGAAGCTTTTCTTGGTGCAGCGGACTGGCTGGGCAGCTCGTGCATGTCTTGGAGCACCTCACAGGCTCACACAGATGCATGCTGAGCGGGGTGAGCAGGCTGGGTGGAACAAGGAGTCTGGTTTTTGGAAGCAACAGTTGTTGTAGCCTGTGGCCATTTGCAACTGCTCCAGTATTTGAAGTGGTTAAACCATATATAGGAGAAAACACAGAATTCGAAATCAAAGGCAAACCCAGAAGAGGAGAGGCAGCCTACACCGAGACAAGGGACAGTCCTTCTGGTCCCTAGTGCTTAGTTGTGTCCACCTGATCTAGGCTGGTCCCTGCTTCTTTGCCCTGCCCAGAGGTCCCTTGGACCCCAGCGCAGTGTGCCACTCCTGCATGGTGCTGCATGGCGGATGGCTACCAGCCTTGAGGAGGGCCTGATGCTCCCCATTGCAGCTGGCTTTGTCCCAGGTGGAGGTGCTAGCATGCCCCGGAGCAGGGGCAGCCCTGAGGAGTAGGGAGAAGACAGGTGGCTATGCCCTGCCCAGTAAGGTCTCATGGGCTGCCTGTCTCCTTCATCTTGAATGTTGGATGGGTCTGTGTGGCCCAAAAGAGCAGAGAGGAGACTCTCTTTACTGTCCTGCCAGAAGCCCAGGGAATGTGGGACAGGAGAAGCCCCAGCTCCTTGCAGGGGTTAGGGAGCCCATGGCAACCACTGTCCACAGGTGACACCCATTCTCCAGTCCCACAGAGGTTTAGATGCTAGAGTCTTTGGGAGGTGCCGAGGGTGAAGCGCCCCCTCACATCCACCCGTCCCCGCTCTCATGGAGCCCTGACAGCCGCCAAGGACTTGCTTTTCTCAGACTAATTCCGAGCCGTAAGCCATGCAGGTGTTGAGTTGATGTGCAGAGCAGGAGGAGAAGTAGGGGCTCGGCCCGTTCCCCAGGAGGGAGAGAAAGAGGCGTGCTAGGCTGGCTCACTGCATGGGAAAAGCAAGCCAGCTGGAGAAGAATCTGCCTGCCTCTGCATGTGGCTGTTCTGTCTTTCCTCCTCCTTCCTTAAAAACTAAGTACCAAGCGGGATGGGAAAGCCAAGAAGAGAAGCTCAAGTGTTAATTGTATTCTTTACATACAGATCTTTGCAAAGAAAGCCCTGTCATTGCTAAGTATATGCCGACAGAGGCTGTGAGAGTGACTTGACCAGGCGGCTTGGCCGAGGACACTGGTGGCTATTAAGCATCTGGGTGGACCTGCAGCCCCTCCTCACCCTCGGACAGAGTAAATTCACGCCATGCAGGTTTGCCGGACGAGTCCGAGTGGCCCAGGCATTGTACTAGGACGGACGTAGCTTTTTCTACGGCCAAATGGTAACTGACCGTAGAGGATTTCTTTTCCTTCTTTTCATTTTTTAAAATTTTATTTTATTTGGGGGGGGGAGGTGGAGGGGCTCCTTAGCATGACTTGCATGAAGTTAAACAGAAAACCCAGCAAACCAAACCCACCACCCCCTGCAACTGTATGATTACCCTAAACAACAATAACAGAAAGAAAAAGCGAAGTTCTCTATTTTCTTTCAAAGCTCTTTAATTTTACACACGTCGTTGGAGCCGAACTGTAATGGCGCTCGGTAGATACCTGTGCATTTCTGGGGGTGGGGGGCGGGGGAGGAGGGGTGGGGATGGGGAATGGATTGCTTCCCTTTTTGTGCACAAGATCGAGAGAAAAGGTTCCAAAAAGGGCAGTCGGTCAGTCATCGGTCATATTGACCTCACCTTCATAGCTCATCTCTCACTCGGAAACTGGAACTTTGCTCCAAATAGAATTGTGGAACCTCGCACTGCTGCCTTCTTCCCTCTCTGTTTGGCATGCTTGTGACCCAGCGGACGTCTCCCCAAGACCCCTGACAGCGGCTAGTCTAGGTTGATTCTCTCATCTTACCGGTGTGTAGATCCAGTGTGACCAACTTTCATAACAAATTGTTCATAGTAGATAATCAACGCCGTATGGATTTTCCAAGTGTTACTTTAAAACCAGGATAAAGATCAGGACCATGGGAGGAGCACCCTCCTCCACCTTTACCAAGGCACAACCTGGCATTGTATGCAATTTAGTACTTCAGAGTAAAAAACTGCATGCCCAATGTTATGCAAAGCGATTCTAGCATGAAATAAATTTTGTATCATGGTTTCTGTATAGTCTAAAGCAGATTTGTTTTCCTGAAGCAATCGGAGGTTTGCAGAGACACACTTCTGCATCTCGAATAAATATAGTATTTTCCCAACAGAAACAGAGGACAGTAGCTTGGCTTTGGTCTGATTCTAAAATTAGTGGGGTAGGGGGGAAGGATGATATTTTTGAAAAACACATGCTTGAGTTGAAAAAAAATGCAACATCTCGAGCTTTCACTGCAGCTCACAACATTTCCTGGAAAGAGAGCAATGATGCTTTAGCTTAACAACTTCCCCTCCCTGGGCCCTGGCCCCCAATAATAAAAAGCTGACTTTTGAGATGAAGCACGGATTTGGGTTTTTATTGCCTTCAGGCAGTGTCGTGATTCTGTTCTGGGCCTCTGGTCCCTTGTGGCTGGGCTGGGGTAAGTCTGGGCCTTGGCTACTCTGGTCTCGAGGAGCACCTTAAGGTGCTTGCTGTCCTCTTGCTGGGGGCAAGTCAGGCCCCAAGGAAGAAGTTGCCCTCTGCAGGTTGGCTGGGCAGGGTAGTACCTCGGGCTGCAGATCCTGTTGGGTCGGGGGAGGGAGGCAGCTTTCAGAAGGCACAGGGCACACAAGGACCCAACATAAGACCAGCACATCCTCTAGGGGGTTCACCTGACGTGGAAACTTCTCTGTGAGTCATGCCATATGGATGAGTCCTTGGATCTGGCCATGTCAGAGCTCCCAGTCCCCTGTGCAGGGTCATCGCCCTCCTAGGGCCATTCTTGAATTTTCTGGTGCCAGGGGTTGGGGTCTGACTGTCAGATCTGGGTGCTCTACCCAGCAGTACCCTTGCTGGGCCCAGTCTCATGGACCGCCTCATCAAATACCCTCTCTCTCAGCCTGGAGGCATCTTGGAATGGGTAGAGCCCTCTCCTAGGGATCTTGACTGGCTTGGGTTGTTCACATGGTTTTGGCGGTAGAGAGGAGGACTGGGGTTCCAATTCTTTTCCTATCCGTTAGAAACTCCAGGCATGTTCAAGTGCAAAGAGTCCCTAGTGGTCATGACAGCCAACCTCTGAACATTTTACAAATGAGGAAATGAGGTCCAGAGAGGGGAGTGACCTGCCCAGGGCCACAAATAAGTGGGTGCAAATCTGCCCTGATTTCAGTTCCTTGACACCACCTAGCGTGGCCCCAGTCAATGATCAGATGGTCAGGGGGAGGCTCAAGGTGAGTGTCAAATTCCCATCTAACAGTTTCTCATTCCCTCCAAGCCTTTGCTTTGACTTCCTGGCTTCCTGAGCAGTTCAGGAACCCAGGGGTAGGGTCAGTGGAGCGGTGAGTACGGTAAGCCCTCTGCCATAGCCCAGGGTCTCTTCCAGGGCTGTCAGGACCACTCGCAAGTGTCAGGATGTGCAAGCCAAGCAGGGAGGGTCATGTGCATTCTACCTAGAGCTGCACCAGCAAGAAAGTGCCTTTGGTGGAGTCAAAGTGGGATTGAACACAAAGCCATTTGGAATATGACTTTCAGGGACACAGCAGCTAATGGGTAAAGGGATTTAACATACATTGAGCATCTACTACATGCAGGCAGCTTACAAATGCTGTCTAATGATAGCTCACAATAATTCAATAGCCCCATTCAGAGGCAAGAGAACAGGCACAGAGAGGTAATGGCCCAAAGCCAATAAATAATGAAGCCAGGATGTTAACCCAGGTGGTCTAGCTCCAGAGCTCAGGTGGAGCTGTCTCAAGCTACTTAAGGCCTTCCTGGGGCTGGCCCTTAGGGGTGGAATTGATAGGAACACTAGAGTTGCTGGTCCTAAGTCCCTGGACCCTCAGGACCTGGCTTCCAGCCCTCCTTCATGAAGTGCCATGAGTATGACACAAGGGGCCATTTCACATCCTGCCCCAAGCCTCTCACACACACAGCTGGACAACCTCCCTCTCCTGCTCCCGTTGCTCTAAGAATGAAGTTTCAGCTCCTTCCATTGGCTTGCAAGGCCCTCCTCGCCTCTCCTCTCCCCTTCCCTTCCGCTTCCACCCCCTCCCTCTGTGCTCCAGTCACTCTGAAATTGTGAACTTGTAGCAGTTCCACATTTGCACCTTAGGACCTGGGACCTCCCTCTAACACTGCCACCATTTCCCCACTAACTCACCAACTCCCAATTTCAATTTATCACTAAGTCACTTCAGCCAGAAGTGGATGCCTGGGTTTACCATTCTAAGCACAATCTCATGCAAGGTTGGTCTGATGGTCCTCAGAACCCACCAGGGCCAAGGGTAGCAGGGATATCAAGGGAAGAAGGGGTGTTTGTGATCAGGAAGGGAGAGTGTGGTAGGTAGGGATGGAAACATCCCATCCATATCCGACGCGAGCTCAACCTTGAACCATCACTCCGGGTGCCAGGCCAAAGACTTGTGAGCACACAATGAGGCGGGTGCCTCCTCTCTTCCCTTTCTGCCTTCTCACACAGGAGAAATATGAAGACTAATTTGCTTAGCTGATCAGGAAAAGATAATTTTTAAAAATGAGTATTTTCTCAAATAGCTGTAGCACCTACAGATCATTAGCTAACCAGGTGAATGATATTGTCATTAATTGACCATCAAATGGCTATGATATCAGAGCATGGTTCTCAAACATATGTAAAAAGACTAACAGCAGAGGGTGGGTAGGGACAAGAGGATCATTGAGCCCAGTCATTTAACCTCCCCACCCCATCGTGACCCTAAGGGTGTATTGACAAGTTCATTCATTACATTTATGAGGCATTTCCTCTGTACCAGGACCCATCCTTGGTGAAGGGTTTCTAGAATTGACAAAGACTTGGTCCCTTACTCTCAAAGAGTTCATGGTCTATTAGGAACGAGGCGCTTGGATACCTACAAAGTCTGAGAATGACCAATAGCAACCACAGTGTCCAGAAAAAAGTCTTGGAGACACCGTCAACACCTCCTCACTCACTAGCCGATGAGTGCTTTCAGACACGCGTCAGATCCAGGCAGGGAAGTGCCTTGGAGAGAGCCCGTCTGCCACTGTCAGGAGAGGCAGTGGAGGAACTTGAGGTGATGGGATGGTGGCAAGAGCCACTCATTTTCCGTGTGTGGATTATCTTTGTCCTGCCGGCTTTCAAGAAGGGTTTGACTCAGTTCTGAGAGTCTGAGGTTCTAGATCAAAGGGCTGAGAGCTGATGCACCACCTGATCCTGTTTTAGGCTGGGAAGGAGCCCTGAGACACTCTTTTCTGGTACCCACAAGGAGGTCTTAGAAGAGGCATTAGGACCCAGCAGCAGAGGACTTCGGATTTTCGTTTCTCCCAGCAGGTGCTGAAAGAAGCAGGAGGGAGCTCTGCACTGCTACCTTATGAGAGAGTGTTGGCTCTCTGTGAGCGGGAACCGTCTAGGAGGTAGGGGCCTGAATACTATCCGGTGTGGGATTGCCTTCTGGCCTGTGATGCCCACCACCAGCCTGTAGGGCCATGGGTGGGAACCAGGAACCTTGGGCTTGTGTGGGTCATCTCTCAGCCATCCGATTGCTCCAGCTCTGTGGGATTGGTTACCCTGGCAAGACCAGCTCAGAGTGCATAGAGATATCCTTCTTCCCATTCCAAACGTGCTTGAAGGCTGCACTGGCCTCTATTGGTTCTGGGAGGTGGGGGACCAAAGTTTCTGCCAGCCAGGGAAGCCATGTCTCTAGGGTGCAATATTGGGAGGACTCCATGCATGATGTTCAAGGTCAGCCTATAGCTGTGGGTGGTCTCTAGGTTCAGGACTGGGGAGCTCAGGATTGTCCTCATCCCTACTCTCCTGAGCTGAACCCATTCCTGGTCCCAGGGCTACTCTCCGCCCCCCCTTGTCTAGCTCAGGGCCCCGGCTGGGTCACTTCCCAATCAGGACCCTGGAATAGGAGTGGGGTGTATGGCCTTGAGATGGAGATGAACAATGAAAATGTTGGATAAGGTTGCTGGTTTTAAACTTTCTCAAAGACCCTTTGTCAAATAGAATCTTATGTGAGCCACAATATATTTAATATACAGATAACAATAAAGCTGCTTGGAATGAGGTGGGGGTGGGGAACGGAACATCTGTCTACTTGGCCTTCTTTATCCACAGTCCGCAGGGTGGCCACTGAGTTCTCAGGAGACTTCTAGGGCACTAAAGAATGCACTTCGAAGGCCACTAGGCTAGATGGTCATTGAAGGTCCTCCAGCTTTGATGTCCTGGGATTCTGTAACAGTAAAGCCACTGGAGCCCAGCCCCAGCCCCGAACTCTCCTGAGGCACAAAGGGAAGGCAGTATGGGATGGGCCACAGACCCGGGCTACCTAGCCGGTAACACCGCCACACAGTCCTCTGGGGAAAATACGCTCTCTGAGGTCCTCTGGCCAAGGACCTGTTGCCAGTCACAGCAGAGAGAAAGGTGCTATGTCCCCCAGAGCCACGGCTGCTACTGTGGCCTGGTCCCCATCTCTCCTCCTGCAGAGGTTAGGGCCTGGGTGGCAGATGTTAGGGGTTAGGGTCTCTGACGTTGCTATCCCTATAGACTCTCCTTCCCATGCTGTGGTCTGTCCCTCATCTGAAACGGCACAGCTTGGCAATTAGTCACGCAGACAAGCTCCAGAGTCCTGGCTGACTCAGAGGAAGACATAAATCTTCTGAGAGTTTCATTGGTTCTAGACTCCTTTTCTGTCCCAAGGGTTTCCTTTACTAGGTCTTCCCAGAAGTCTTAACTCTTCCTCCACTTCCTCATTTCTACCACCTTCCACCTCCCACTCCAGAATCTTTTTCCTTGGCCTAATCACAAAGGTAAGAGCTCTTTCCTGTCCAAATATCCAGCCATCCAGTCAGGGAACCTCAATATCCTTGAACCAGCAAACTGGTTCTGGCCCTGAGAGACTGAAACACCAGGAGAGGCCGGTGGCTGCGGTAGGCATGGCTTAGAACCCTCTGTCTTGCTGAATCAAAGGCGGCTGGACCCAAACACCCACAGGGATAGGGCTAGGTTTTCTGTCTCTACCAGGTAGGGACAGGCTGGAGCCTTCTTGCTGGTGTTTTAGCTTTCCACGTCCTGTGGCGAGGCCCTAACCCCTTGTTCTCATCTGTTGAGTAGAAAGGATGTCTGTCTCCATGAGCCCCAGACACGGGGCAGGCAGCCTCCCATCATTCTGGTTTGTGGTCAGCCCAACCCCACAACCCAACAAAGCAATTCTCTCAAACGTTTTGGTGGGAAAAGCCACTTTATTAAAGGTTCTCTATTACAGTCCCCCATTTCCGGACCTGTCAGATTGGCTTTGGGTTGAAGTTTCTGATTGTCTTCCCTTCTGGTTTCTCTCTTTGTTGGTGGTTTCCTGAGATTCAGTGTCCTTGGTGGCATCTGGGGAAAGGTAGGTGACCTTGGGATCCTGGCCCGGTGCAGGGCGTGCTGGCAGCTGGCAGAGGGCCAGGGAGTGGCCAGCCCCACAGCCCACAAGGAGTCCTGGTGACGACCACAGAGCCTGCACGGGCTTCGGGGCCCAGATGTTGGCTTCAGTGCCATCTCCACACATGCCGTGCTCATTCCAGCCCCAAGAGTAACAGGCCCCACCTGTGAAGGAGAGGGAAGACGCTGTAAAGAGGTTTGGATAGCAGGACTGAAGCACTCATGCTGAGGGCACAGGCATCATCATAAACCCCGTTCCCACACCCACGAAGCCACCAGAGCTCCAGGACACTCGGCAATGACTCACTCTCCCTGCGTCCACCCCTGCTGCCCGCCGACCCCAGCGTTTCCCATTCCCACCAACCACAGCTGTTCACGCCCCGCACCCGGCTTTCCTCCTTGGCGCTAACCTCATAGTCACCCTCTACAGATAATCTATCACCAAGACCTGCTGACTATGCCTCCAAAAATATCTCCAGTCTTTCCCCACATATCTCCCTCTCTGCTGCCGTTGCCAACTAACTGGGCTGCTCACCATCCACTCTGATCTTCGAAGACCATCAGGGTGATCTTTGGCAATTACAAATCTAATCACGCTTCACCCTGCTGCTTAAAACCCTTCAGTGATTTCCCACAGTCCCTAAGGAGGCATAACCTTGGCCCATGAAGCCCTGAGTGATCTGGCCCCTGACGATTTTGCTGGCCTCTCCTTGTACAACTCTCCCCCTCCCTCATTGCAGCAGGAACCCTGGCTTTCTTTTGGTTCCTTAACTGTGCCCTGCAGAGCCTTCCTTTCTCTCAAAGTCCTCACTTTACTAGGTTCCCAGACCTCCTCGTCCTTTTGATTCCAGTTTAAGTGTCACTCAGAGGCCAGGTTCTCTGGCTACCCAATCCAATTCGATTCTCAGCACTGCCCTCGTGCTTTCCCTCATGGGGACCTTGCACTTGGTAGTGACATATGATCTATGTGGTGCTGTGTTTACTGTCCCCTCTTCACTAGGCTGTGCACTCCGTGGGGGCGGAAGGAGCGTGTATGCTTTGCTCACTGCTCTGTCTCTAGCACAGCGTCTGGTACACAGTTGGTGCTCAATAGGCGTTTGTTGAATAGATACAAGAATGAACAAACTCAGAGTCATACAGCAGGAAGTGGCCAAGGCAGCACTCAAGCCCAGGTAACCCCGACAGTCCGTGACACTTCCACTGCACTGCAGCCCCTCTTCCTAGGTTTTGGACCCTCTCCTACGGTCTAAACTCACCCACATTTTTCTGTGGTTGTTTTAAACAATATTTTTTCTGGATATAAAAGCAATACATCTTCATGGCATAAGGAAAGAAAGAAAGAAAAAGAAAGACAATGGAAAACATGGATGTATAAAGAAAAGCAAACTTGCAGACTCTTGCCCACTACTATGAGTATTGTGGAGATCTCTTTCAAACTTTTAATTTGTGAAATTTATAAATATTTGGGTATATTTTTGTCCTGCCTTTATCCCTTAACATTATAACACAAACATTTCTCCATGGAACCGTAAATTATTCAAAAAGTACATTAAAAATAATTGCTTGCAATTTTGAAATAGCTCAATATGCAGAAAAGTATAGAAAATAATTTAACAGAAGGCACACATCCCCACTCGGATTTAGAACACTGGTTAACATTTTGCCACATTTGCTTCACATCTTCCCTTAAAAAGACCATTAGGACATAGCTGAAGGCCCACCTCCCACCCCTGCCCCTCTATCCTGCCCTCCCTCCCAGAAGTAGCCACTCTCTTGAACTTGGTATACATTACTTTCATGCTTGTTTTATATTTTTCTACATATATGTGGCCTTAAATATGTGATATTTAGTGTGGTATTTTTAGTTTGTTTTAAAGATTTACATAAATAGCATCATTTTTGCCACTTGCTCTTCACATTTCAGCCTTGGTTCTAAAGTTTATCTGAGCTGGTAGTTACGGATCTAGTTCAGTTATGTTAACTGTGCATAGTATCCTATTATGCATTAATTATATTTCACTTATTCATGTCCTTGCTGATGGACAGTTCTATAATAATTATCATTGTTGCTATTTTATTATACAATTTAAAATATAATATGTAATAATATTATACAACAATACTAATATGGTTGCCATTATAGACAGTGCTGCAGTGAACATATTTGAACATATCTCCTTGTACAAACTGGTGTTTGGACAGGGCAATCCCTAGAAGTGTATGTGACTCATAGGGGAACTGCATTCTGAATTTTAATAAGTACGGCCAAATAGCTCTCCAATGGCTGTCGTCATTTATGTTCCCATCAGCAATAGATATGAATTTGTCTTCCTGTTATCTTTGCCTTTAGACTCTTGCTAGTCTGATAAGTATGTAATGAGTTTGCATTTCCCTGACTACTAGTAAGCCGGAGTAGCACTTTATGTTTATTAGCCATTTAGGTTGCCTCTTCTGTGAACTGCTTATTTACATTCTTTGCCTGTCTTGTTCTTTGGTTGTTTGCCTTTTCCTTATTGATTTGTAAGTTTTCTTTGTGTATTCTTTTGTTTATATAATTCTTTGTTGTTATGTGCATTGCAAGTGTCTTCTCCCAGAAGTCTGTGGTGTGTCTCTCACTTTGTTTATGGGTGTCTTTTGTTATACAGATTTATTTCTAATGGCTGCCTAATTGCCCATTATGGAGATTAAACAATTTACTTAACCTGTATCCTATTATCAGATATGTAGGTTGTCTCTAATTTTTCATTATTTTGTATAGCATTGCTGTGAACATCTTTATGCATGAGTCTTTGTCTATCTCCCTAATTATTTTCTGAAATTAGATTCTTAGAATGGGAATTCCTGGTCAAAGGGTATAGACATTTTTGAGGCTTCTGACTACTGTTTTGAGTACTGCCAGCATAGTTTTCAGAAAGGCCACCTGAATGTAACTTCTGCAATCTGTGGGAGTCTCTGTCTCACTGCAGATAGTATTTGTTAGTATTATAATGTTTAAAAATCTTCCTAATTTAAAGACAAAAATGGTGTCACATAGTTTTATTAATTTGTACTTTTTTGACTACCATTGAAATTAAAAAATAATTCTTATATTTCTCAGATATTTATATTTCCTGTTTTGTGTACTGTCTGCTTCATATCTTTTTCCTGGTTAGTATACAGACTTTAAATGTCAGACTCAAGAGCCAGATGAACTTGGTTCACATTCATTTACTGTGTCACTGTGGGCACTCAGTAAGAGTCACTTAGCCTCTCAGTTTCCTCATCTGCTAAATGAGGATAATAATACTGTAGTACCTTTCTCACAGAGTTGTTTACAAGGATTAAATGAGCAAGTAAAATATGTGCAAAATACATAGAACAGTGCCTGGCATATAGTACTACGTAAAGGTTAGTTATTGTTGCTATTACCTATTAAGAGCTTTGTTGTTTTAAAGATTTTTATTTTAAGGATATTAATTCTTTCTCTGCCATATTTGGCATTAATATTTTTTCTCAGTTTGACTTAAAATTCTGTTTTAAATCTTTTGATAAGTCTATGGTTCTATGTAGTAAAATTTATCGATCTTTTATGTTACAAGTGCTTCCACTGCTTATAAGAACTGAAAGTCTATCCCTATCTAGATTGGAAAATATTCTTTTTGATTTTTCAATGATTTGAATTTTTAAATCTTTACATTTAACTCATTATGCATTGAAAATCTGTTTTGCAGACCACTCTTTCAAGAGAGGGAGGCTGGCTGGACCCTGGGATTACCCTTCCCTTTCCTTTTCCCTAGTAGGAAGGCATCACTGGCCAAAAGCTTGCGTCTGGGGAAACACAGATGTCTGTCCGTTTGGCCTGCAAATGAGGAAGCGCACACAGAGAGGATGAACCCCAGGCCACATCTCCTACAGTTAAGCAGGAGCTTCAGCCAGGTTGATCTGAAGCACGAGATGGGGAGAGTGGAAGAGGCTTGGTACCTTCAGGCCTAATGGGCACCTGGTGTGGGCTTTGTGCCCGGCCCTGGTGAGTGGCACCAGCTGACCATCAGCAGGCATGGGGGCGGGAGGAAGGCAGAACTGACCTACCAGCAGGATGCGGCACAATGGGCATCTGGCAGGTTCCTCTCCTCCTGCCAAAGGGAACACACTCTGAGGAAGCCACGCTCAGGGCCAGGGTAGCCAGAGACCTAGAGCCAAGAGTTTCATGCCCACTGGGTCGAGAAGCCTGGCAAAGGCCCAGAAATATCTTCCCCAATACTTCCAAAGAAAGCTTACCCAGGGTGAGGTGCTTTCTATGCTTTATCTCGTATAATTCTAACAACCATGTGAGGCAGGCACGTTTTATAGATTATTCTCCTTTTGTAGATGATACAACTGAGGCTCTAGAACCCAGGCAGTGTGGCTCTGCATGTTATACACCAGGGCTTGCCAAACTTATTCTCTAAAGGGCAGGTAGGAAAGATTTCAGGCTTAAGGGCCATATCAGGTCTCTGTCTCATATTATTCTTTTTTACATCCCTTTAAAAACCATTCTTAGCATGCAGTGTCATACAAAAACAGGCCACAAGTCAGATTTGGTCATAGTGTGCCGACCTTGATACATCCTAATATATACTATTTGCTATGGACTATGCTGTGCTGTCCTGGGTCCCATGTTACCACACAGCTGTGTGATAATGGTACTTAGGTCCCCACCTACTTCACAGGGTTGCCAGGCGGATTAATGCCCCAGCACAGTGCCTGACACATGGTGACAGCTGAAACCCATGTGGGAAGCAGCCCATGGTGAGAAGAGAAGGCCATACCAGTGGCAAAGGCATGGAGCAGAGGGAGAGGCAGCAACAGATGGGAAGGCCCAAGGTAGAATGACAAGAAGTTTGGGGTTTCCAAACACTTTCCACAAACCTCCTATATAAAAAAACCAGGCTGCTGCTTTTCAAAAAGCAAAGGGTTGGTTATCCCCTTAATAGAAGGACTCACAGCAGGACATCATTCAGTAATGAGCTTCTCCAGCATTTTAGAATAGTTTTCACAGGCCCCTCAACCTCGCTTGGGACCACCTTTTCAGGGGCACAGTGAAGACAGCCAGGCCCCTGCACTCTGGACTCGGCAGGATCCTACTGTGTGGACTGTTCTCATGTAGACAACATGTGAGAGAGGAGGGAGAGTGGCCTACAGAAAGC